TTTTTTTTTTTTTTTTTTTTAATTAGTGCTGTCTTACTGATTTGTAGTTCTTTATGTAATCTGGATATGAGTATGTAAGTATGTATTTTGAATCTTTTTTCCCAGTCCACGTTAAGCCTTTTCTAAATAGGTCTTCTTTTATGAGCTTTCAATTTTGAAGCCTACTTTCTGCATTTTTCCATCTATGCTTAGAATATTTTGTGTTTCTTCTGAGAAACCATTGGCTACCTTTCACCTTGTAAAAATATTCTGTGTTTTCTTTACATTTTTAGCCTTTACATTTAGGTCACCCTCTCTTTAATTTTTGGTTTTGATGTAAGGGATAGGCTAAGATTCAACTTTTTTCCATATAAGGTCGGGTGCCGTGGCTCATGCCTGTGATCCTCGCACTTTGAGAGGCTGAGATGAGAGGATCACTTGAGGCCAGGAGTTTGAGACCAGCCTGGGCAACATATCGAGACCCCATCTCTACAAAAAATAGAAAAAGTAGCTGGGCATGGTGGCATGTGCTGGTGGTCCCAGCTACTTAGGAGGATGAGGCAGGGGAATCACTTGAGCTTAGAGTTTGAGGTTGCTGTGAGCTATGATGATGCCACTGCACTCCTACTGGGGTGACAGAGTGAGACCCTGTTTCAAAAAAAAATTTTTTTTTCCATACAGTTATTTAGTTGTTCATTATCATTTGTTGAAAAGACTATTCACATTGAATTGTCTTAGCACTGTTATAAAAAATCTGTTGACCATACCTGTAGGTCTATTTCTGGAACTTGTTCCATTGATCTTTGTTTATCTTGATTCAATGCTATGCTATCATGATTATTGTATCTTTATAGTAAGTCTTAAAATCAGGTAATGTAAGTTCCTCTAATTTTGTTTTTCCTTTTTGTGATTGTTTTGGCTAGTCTAGGTCTTTTATATTTCTATATAAGGTTTATCAGCTTTTTAGTATCTACTGAAAAGCCTCTTGAATTTTGATTGGAATGCATTGTGTCTATAGATCATTTGGAGGAGAACTGACATCTTTACATTTTTCAGACTTCTAAGGGGTTGGCAAATGATGACTCATGGGCCAAATCTGGACCATACCTGTTTTTGTAAATAAAGTTTTATTGGAAGACAGTCATGCTCATTTATTACGTAGTGTCTGTGGCTGTTTTCATGCTGCAGTGACAGAGTTGTCGTGACAGAGCCTAAAATATTTATTATCTGGTTCTTTACAGAAGATGTTTTCTGACCCCCCTTTTGACCCATGGGCGTAGTATATCTCTCCATCTTTTCAAAGTTCTTTAATTTCTCCCAACAATGTTTTATAAGTTTTCACTGAGGATGTCTTTTATGCCTTTTGTTAGATTTATTTCTAGATTTGTTTTCTGTAATCGTAAGTAGGATTTATTTTTAACTCCATTTTTAAGTTGTTCATTGTTGCAATTATATAGAGAGACAATTGATTTTTGTATATTGACCTCATACACAGAAACTTTGTTGACTTCGCTTATTAAGTTTCATAGAACTTTTTGTAGATTCCTTTGGGCTGTCTACAAAACCAGTCATATAGTCATGGTTGTCTACCGACTTTTCTTTTTGCTCTTCGTCTGCCTTATTACATTGGTCAGGACCCACCAGTGACAGCGTTCTCTATAGTAGCGGTGAGAGCAGACATCCTTGCCTTGTTCCTGACTTTAGGAGGAACGTGTTCAGTATCTATTATTACGTACAGTGTTGGCTGTAGGCTTTTGCAGATGCCTTTTGTGAAATTGGACAAGTTCCTTTTCCTAGTTTGCTGAGAACATTTTATTACAAATGGATGTTGGATTTTGTCTAATACTTTTGCTGAATCTTATGATCATGTGGTTTTTCTCCTTTAATCTGTTAATGTGGTGAATTACACCAGTTTTGAAATATTGAAACAATGTTTCATTCCTGGGGGGAAAAAATTCTACTTGTTCTTAGTGTATTATCCTTTTTATATATTACCAGATTTGATTATATTTCTGTTAAAGATTTTTGCGTCTGTGTTCATGATGAATACTTTGTCACTTTCCTTTCTTGTGATACCCTTATTAGGCTCTGCTTTCAGAGTTACGCTGGCTCCATAAAACAAAAGGGAATTATATCCTGCTTTCAATTTTGTTAGTTTTTTGTATTAGGTTGATGTTATTTCTTTTTTAGTGTTTGGTTGAATTCACTGGTGAAGCAATTTGGGCCAGTAGTTTTCTCTGTAAGAAGTTTAGAAATTACAAATTCAATTTCTTTAATAAATATGTGGCCATTTAGGTGGTTTATGACTTCTATCCATTCTGAAAGATTGTGTTTTTCAAGGAAGTTGTGGTTTTCATCTACGTTGTCAAATTGTTAAAGTTGTTTGCACTGTTCCCTTATTCTCCTTTTAGTGTCGCTGGGCTCTGTGTTGGTATCCCTTTTATTCCCTGATGTTAGTAGTTTGGGAGTGCGGGATGGAAAGCCCAGCCTGAGACCAGGTGTCTGGAATTGGTAAGACCTGTTCTAAAGTCTTTCACTTTAGCCCTTGATTAATTTTCAAGCTCAACTTTTGAGAGTAGAAGGCCTTTCTGAAGGGTAGAAAAGGAAAATTGGGAGGGGATTGTCAACAAGGGGGTGGGTAAGTCCTTTCCAAGCTGAGTGGCTGCAGTGATGGGAACTGGAATCTAAGCAATGAAGACACGTGTCATGGGCTCGTGAGATGGACTGGAGCACGTCCAGCTGGCAGGAACAATGCCTTGGTTGCACTGACCTTAACTAGCACCTGTGCCCCTGATTACTTCTCAATGAAAAGTAGACTCAATAGCTTTCATTATAATGTTAAAGGAGAGTTCAGCCAAGCAGTCCAAAAAAAGCACATTATTTTAATAGATTCTGTCTTTTGAGCCATTTTCAAAGAACCTGTTTATGTGATGATTTTTAGTTCCAAACAATTATTTTAAAAAGATTTTGGATAACTTGTATAATAATATTGTTATTAAATACTGGGTATGATTTTACATTTTGTTCTGTGCTTTGACTAAACTGTAATTTGGAGTTATCCATATCTCTTTTACCTGCTGGTAATTGAATGTGTAACTTTGACTTCATCTCTGTGAATTGTTCAGACTATCCACGTGCCTTTTTTTATTTGTTAGAATTTTTCTTTGGGAGGCAGTTGTTATTTTTGGTTTCTCCAATTTAAGTAGTTTTTGAAAACTCTAAGGTTTTCTTTAGAATGTTTTTAGACAAATGATATGGGTTCATAATTGAAAAATTCAAGCAATATAGAAAAGAACAAAGATGACTACATGAATTTTTTTTAATCGTCTTTATGAAATAACCACCATGAGATTCACTCAAGAATATTCCTGCGTTTATACAGGGAGAAGGCCTGGCTGACAAGTAGCTTCCTATTAAGGAATAGTACTGTATATGCTGTTTTGTAAAATGAGTTTAATATAACATCGATTTAAAATAAGAAAAAGAAGCCAAAGTGCAATAAAATTGCTGAACATAAAATATTTCTTCATTCCAAGTAATATTAGTTTTTTAAAACTCCCTAAAAGGTTGAGAAAATATATTATGAGAATGATAAGAAGTTGGAATCACTCCAACTTTAAAAAAAAAAATTGTGGCGGGGCGCCATGGCTCACGCCTGTAATCCTAGCACTCTGGGAGGTCGAGGCGGGCGGATTGTTTGAGCTCAGGAGTTCGA